TTGGGATTCTCTGTCTCTCCCTCTCTCTCTGCCCCTCCCCCACTCATGTTTTCTTTCTTTCTCTCTCTCTCTCTCAAAATAAGTAAGAAACTTAAAAAAAGAAAGAAAAACAGTAAGTAAAACAAACCTCTATTTTTTTTTTTGAAAAATGAAAACCTATTTCTCAGTAATTCACAGATTAAAGAGAAATCTCAACAAATTAGGAAACACCTAGCACTAAACTAAACAATGGAACTGGTGTATCTCAAAACATGTGGCAAATGAGGATGCAGCTAACAGTTCCTCAGAAAGTGTTGGCCCTGTGGGGTGCCTGCACAGCTCAGTTGGTTGAGCGTCCCGCTCTTGGTTTTGGCTCAGGTCATGGCCTCACAGTTTGTGGGATCAAGCCCTGCATCAGGCTGACAGCACAGAGCGTGCTTGGGATTTTCTCTCTCTCCCTCTCTCAAAATAAATAAACTTAAAAAAAAAAAAAAAGTTGGTGGGGCACCTGGGTGGTTTAGTTGGTTAAGTGTCCAACTTTAGCTCAGGTCATGATCTCGCAGTTTGTGAGTTCGAGCCCTATGTTCTTATTTGAAATGCCGCCAGTCTGTTATTTGAAAAGCCTGACAAAACAGACACACTTTGGTGAGAGTGATCATAAAACAAAAAAGTCACACAAGGGGCGCCTGGGTTGCTCAGTCGGTTGAGCGTCCGACTTTGACTCAGGTCACGATCTCGTGGTTTGTGGGTTCGAGTTCTGTGTTGGGCTCTGTGCTAACAGCTCAGAGCCTGGAGCCTCCTTCAGATTCTATGTCTCCCTCTCTCTCTGCCCCTCTCCTGCTCGCGCTCTCTCTCTCAAAAATAAATATACATTAAAAAAAAAAAAGCACATATAAGCATTATCAGTCATGAGAAGGGGATTTAACTAAGAAACGGTAGAAAGTTACCAAAATGGCAACTTGGATTTATCCTAGGAATGCAAGGACTGGGATACATTAGAATGTCAATTGATACAATTCCCCATATTTTCAGATAAAAGTAGAAGTCCTCTACACCTTATCTCAATAAATTAAGAAAGTAATTTGTGGAAATCTCACCCAGATTCATGATCAAAATGCTCTCAATTAAAGTGGTAGACCCCTTTGGTGTGCCTGAGTGGCTCAGCTGGTTAAGCGACTGACTCAATCTCAGCTCAGGTCTTGATCTTGGGGTCATGGGTTCAGTCCCTGAATTGGGCTCCACACTGGGCATAAAACCTACTTAAAAAAAAAAAAAAAAAGGAGACCCCTTTAACCTATATTAATAAATTCTGAAAGTACTTTAAGGAAAACTCCAATTCCTGATGAAAATTCTTAACAATTAAGGATATAAGGAATCAAGGTAAATATCACACCTAATAATAAAACATCAGAATAGTTTACTTTAAAGCCAAGACCAAGACCCTAGAAACCTGCTACATCCACAGCATTCAATAGTGATGTGGAGGAGCTAGCTGCTCAAGAGGGCCATGTCCCAGATGTCACTCCTGGTCATTATGAGTTCTTCACCTACAGGAACAGGCCTCCTGAGGATGCCTTGCCACCATACTGCATGTTTCCCATACTAGACCCTCTGAGTACACTGGGGCCTGGGTGGCCTTGGATGTCCTGTGAAGACAAGATGGAAAGCACCTTCCTAGAGGTCTGTACGGGAAGGATGAATGTGTGTATTTAAAAGAACTAAGTCAGACATATACACCATGATACCACTTGGGGAAATTTTTTAGACATACAAAAATTCTGGAAGTAAAAATATTAAAATGCCCTGGCAAGATACCTACCAAAGCTGTGATCATGACTGTTCTGGGAATATGGAAAACAGGCCTTAAGGAGTAAAGGGAACATCCATTTAATCTATAATAGATGCTTCCTTTATTGAAATAAGAGTTATTCACCCTTAAGAAAGTGAAATGACAACCCACCAAATGGGAGAGAATACTTACAAAGCATATATCTAATAAATGATTTGTATACAGAAGATATTAAGCTCTTACAACTCAAAACCAAAACAATCCAAATTTTAAAAATAGGCAAAAGATAGGGGCACCTGGGTGACTCAGTTGGTTAAGCGTCCAACTTCAATTCTGGTCATAATCTCATGGTTCGTGAGTTCAAGCCCTGTGTCAGGCTTTGCACTGACAGCTGAGAGCCTGCTTTGGAATCAATCTCTCTCTCTCTCTCTCTCTCTCTCTCTCTCTCTCTCTCTCTCTGCCCTTCACTCTCCCTCTCTTTCTCAAAAATAAATATTTAATTTTTAAAAACAGGCAAAGGATCTGAATAGACATTTCTCCAAAGAAGACATCCAGACGGCCAACAAGCACATGAAAAGATGATCGACATCATTGTCATTAGGGAAATTCTAATCAAAACCACAGTGAGATGCCACTTCATACTCACAAGTGTTGCCAATATAAAAAATGGACAGTAACATGTGTTGTGAGGATGTGGAGAAACTGGAACCCAGTTT